CCCCTCACACATGGTTGGGAGCTGTATTTCTATTTTAATAAAGCTCATTCAGAAATCTATAAAAATAAAATCTATAGGAAAAAAATTTTCTATTCAAAAATATATCAAAATAAAATCTATACGAATATTACGTTTTAAATTTTCTGAATGATTTCTGAATAAGCAAGACAACAATAAAATTTTTTTCCCAATAAAATCTTGTGATTCAGATTTATAAAAAAAAAAGAATAATGCGCAAAGTATTTTTCATACTTAAAATATTTGTTTTTTTGCATAACAATATTTTACGTTTGTTACAAACACAAGATTTGCTTTAAAAAAATATCAATAGAATCAAATATTCGGTTCATATATTATCACTATTTAAGATCCGATTATAATATCCTAATTTATTATTGTGATGATGAACCATGTTTCTATTTTTTTAATAAACCAACTCAATTCGGAATCATTTTTATAGCAAACATAATTATACTTCCAATCCCTACGGTGCGCAAAGTAATTATATTTTTTTTGCATAACAACATTTTACGTTTGTTACAAACACAAGATTTGCTTTTAAAAAAAATATCAATAGAATCAAATTTTCGGTTCCTATATTATCACTAACAAGAGATCTTGAGGATTTTTTAGAATCCGATTAGAATATCCTAATTTAATATCTAACAAAATCACAAAATAATATCTAATAAAATCAAACAAAATTCTACCCTCTTCTAACTCTATCTATAAATATGGTTCATCATCACGATAATAAACTTCACATCTCGATTCCTATTTTTGCATTTTAGTATCATAATGTCTATCATACCAAACAAAAACTCTTCTTTCGTACTCTTTGAAAATATTTTGACATCAAATGAAAAACAAAAAATCAAAACTCAAATTCTTGTCTTGTGGAAATCATTTAAGCCCATCGGAAATTCGATTGAAATAATTTTGGTAGATGAAAAGGTTAGTTATTCATATGACGATTTCATAGCTTTTTTTTTTGTTTCTATCCAATTATGCTTCATTTTCTGGATTCGTAACTTTTATTTTTTCATGCGTGATAAAGCACCACCTTCGAAAATGATTTACTTGATTTTTGTTTTAATATTTTCTTTGAACACTCTGTTTTTCTTTACCTTGACACGAAGACTTTTGAAGAAATCTCCCTATAAGTTTCCGATCGAATAAACTATGATCAACACCTAAAACATGAAACTGCGATTCTGCTGCGATACCCATTGTGTGGGTTAATTTTTTATCTAATAATGTCATGATAAAAGCGTATTTTACGTGTCAAGTAAAAAAATCTTTTTTCAAATTTTTTTTTCCATCCAATTATGCTTCATTTTCCAGATTCCTAACTTTTAGTTTTTTTTTATGCTGTTAATTAACTTTTGTTTACAAAATAAATATTTATTCTTTTTTCATATAGGGAACAAGAATTTACACAACCATTAAAGATGATATGCTTTAAAAACATCAGAAGGTTGCGTGACGTTCAAAATTTTCCATATGAAAGACTATTGTGGCGACTATAGGACCAGCGAACTCCCTTACAAGATTCTAGTTATTCGAACAACAATCATCAAAGTGGTTGATGAATCACCAAAACCATTTCCAGAAAAATATTTCACCGACTTTCAAGACATTAAGGGCGGATCTCTAAACAAAGATGTCTTGATTGGTAATGTCATCCCTACTTATTTAACTAATCCATTTATTAATTCCTACTTTGATTATTTATATTTAATGTGATATTTCTAATCACAATGCAGATGTTGTTGCTCAAATAATGAATGTTGGACCTATCGAAAACCTAAAATCCCAGGAAAGAAGACCACAAGCACAAAGGTGGATGTTTTGCTATGAGATGCACTGTAAGTAGTATATATTTCTAAGAAATTATTATTATGGATTTTTTATACATACTTGAAAATGATCGTCTATTTTTTTATATTGTATAATTAAATTAATATTTGAGAACTCATAA